AAATAAATGTTCTATAGCACTCAATTTTGTGAAAATTTTGTAAATTGTTTTTGTGTTCATTGAGATATTAAATGAAATCTTACTTTTCAAAGAAGGTGTACACATTTATGGAGAGCACTGTATATATATATATATATATATATATATATATATATGCAGAGTCAATGTTTGCAGTGTTGACCCTTCTTTTTCAAGACCTCTGCAATTCGCCCTGGCATGCTGTCAATCAACTTCTGGGCCACATCCCGACTGATGGCAGCCCACTCTTGCATAATCAATGCTTGGAGTTTGTCAGAATTTTTTGTTCATCCACCTCTTGAGGATTGACCACAAATTCTCAATGGGATTAAGGTCTGGGGAGTTTCCTGGCCATGGACCTAAAATTTTGATGTTTAGTTTAACATGGAAATATAAATCTGATTACAGGTCCACTTTAAGATGGGACTTTGACACAGTGTCACCATAATCCAGACATCACAAAAAAAAACTTCACAAGTCTTGTTATGACCTGCAATCAGTATGTTTGGTACAGTATGAACACTGACCAAGCTGGCTATGCATACATGAGTGTACCAGAGATAAGTGGGTACAGTATACACAGGTGACAGGGACATCTGATTGGACGCCTGTTATCATTAGGACAACATCAAGCCTTGGGATCAGCACCTTGTGTTCCTCCAGCTGGGCTGGAATGTCTCAGACTTCATGGGAAAGTTTACCAAAGGTGGCAATTCCGGAAATAGAACACTATGCTGAATGAGACTAACTGCAGCATGGTGTCGTTATGTTTACACCTCATTAGAGTCATAATGTGCTCCAAGCCAGAGCCACATAGGGATTCTATTGGTGAGATCACTGAGTTCTGTACAACTCCTATTCCCATTATCATGGAGTTTCTATTTATTATGGAGAATACAGCAAGAAGAGGTGGATGGGAACACACAAAACTCCCAAGTAGCTGGTATGATGGCAGGAAGATCTTCCTATTAAAGAATCCAAGACACATAGGAAGCAAGTCACTGAGACCAACAGACTCCACTACAGGCTCCAATAATATCTAAAAAAATAATTTTTGGATGGGCTGTTCTTTTGGTTGGCCTTATGGCGGCCATACATGCTTGGAATTTTTTAATCCGAGCAAATCCACAAAAAGTCAAATAGGCATAACTTGTAGGCATAATTCATAGAACTGATTTAGATACATCTGATCAATTTAAGCCGATTGATCCCATTGCAATGATCATCAGCACTGAGATACTATGTCTGTAAATTTGATCATATTTCGATAAATCAGAATATGAAATTGCATGGTGGAAACAGATGTGATTGATAAGCTACGATCGGGGCAAGGACAAGGGGTGGGCAGGAGGTGAGGCTGGTAGGAAGAAAAAAGCAACCGAATGCCTGAGCTCCTGCGCTGGACAATGGACTCCACAATGTCAATATCCCCACATGTGTATGAAAGGAATGCAAGCCTTGCTGCCCTCAATGGACCAGGGAAATCCAAAGAGAACTGTATATGAAAAGACAAAAAGAAGGCACACGGGCCTAGTGCATTACCTTTAAAAATGAGATTTATTGATAAAAAGTAAAATACTCACAAGAGAAATAAAATCAAATGGAAAGCATGTCACAGAAGATGCAGTGTGGTCCAAAACCCCTGAAGTTGGTCTGGTAGGGGACTGTAGACCTCTGGATAGCTGATGCTGACGCATTTCGAGGTTGTACCTCTTCCTCAGTATTCCTTGGCTCTGAGCCATTATTCCTTGTCTCTGACCTATAAGTTGGGCTCATAAGGACACATTCTGCGGAGAGGCGTGGATGGGATCAAGGCCTGGAGCAGTAGGGAGCAAAGTGGACAGTGTGAGTACAGCAGTACATGTTGGGATCTAAAAAGGGAAAGGCTGCGGAAAGACTGCCAAACGTAGCAAGCTTTCTAAGGACTGCATTGGGCGCAATCCTTTATCCTTGTCCCGGGATATCTTCAGAGAAGCCAGGAAGGCTGGTAGCGCTTGCAGGCTGTGGAGCTGGGAGCAGCTCTGAAAGGGAGAGAGAAACATTTCTGTATGTAGCTATGAGAAATAAAGTGATTTTTGAGCGGCTACTAGTCCCTCGCCTGTAAGGCTGCTACTGATACGTAACGACTGACGCCTTTTAGGAAAACAACAGTCCAGGATCTGCTTTGTACATAGGAAGGAAGTGTCCCCCTTCTATTGTTTCAAGTCAAATTGGGCATCTCATAATCCCTATTCCCTATCCAGGTTGAATTCCCCTTATAATACAACAAAAACAGGTTCATGGAGTGGTCAGTTTCTTTGGATGCAAGTTTGTGCGAGAAATACCTGTTGCCTGGCTGTGCAGAGGGAAGCTTAGGGATACCCTCAACACAGCGGCCCACACGAGGGTAGCGCTACACGTATAGTATATATTCTATATGATATCCATGCTCTGCAACCTAGACACTATTGCTTCTACTGTATATTGACAGAAAAAAAAAGTATTTTAAGTAAACTCATTATAATAGAAATAATGAGCATTGTCACAAGGAGGGGTCAGTGGTAACAGCCTCCATATCGATTTCTTGATAGGTTTCTTTTACTGGGATATCTATAATACAACAATAAATTGAGCACAACTAGGTAGCAATCAAAAGGGAATGCATGAGAGGAGATGTAGTCCAGGACCTTGTAGGTCTCTTAATGTCCACTAGGAGGCAACTTGTAATGGGAGCAGGAGAAGGCTCTGTGAATGAATCAAAGGAGGAAAGAAACAAGCGCCATCTGGGTGTAGTACTGTAAAACCGTTTAAAGGGGAGCTCCACCCAAAAGGGGAAGTTCCGATTTAAGGACTGCTCCCCGCTCCCCATTAAGGATTGGCACCTTTGAGGGGCGGGGGGAGCGGGTACCCAAATTTGACAGGTACCCGCTCCCGGTCTGATCGCCTAGGCCAGGGGTTGGCAGCCTGCGGCTCTCCAGCTGTTGCAGGACTACAAGTTCCATCATGCCTCTGCAAGTCATAGCTATAACTGTCAGTTTTGTAATGTTGCAATGCCTCATGGGAAATGTAAATCCACAACAGCTGGAGAGCCACAGGTTGCCTACCCCTGGCCTAGGCGATTGGAAGCAGAAGGTGTCCTCCCTGTAGTCTTTTGGGACACGTGATAGGTCCCAGAAGACTACAGGACCATTCATGAAGGTCAACGATACTCGGGCATGCTCAGTGGGTACCCGGCTGTGAAGCCGCAAGCTGTCACAGCCGGGTGCCCACACTGAAGATGCCGGCCTCCTGGAATCCAGAACAGCCAGTGAAATGGGCTGCGGGGGACACACCGTGGGACCGAGGGACAGGTAAGTGGCTGTTTTTTAAAAGTCAGCAGCTACAGTTTTTGTAGCTGCTGACTTTTATTTTTTGACAGGGTGAGTGGAACTCCGCTTTAATGAACAAACAGCAAAAGTAAAACTCACAAAAGAAAAGTGGTCTCAGGCATGGATAGTAGTGGGGATGGTCGTCAGTGTCAGTCTTGAGCCGCAAAAGCATGGAGGCTGTGAACCGACTGGCAAGTAGTTCTGGAGGCTCCCAGGGCTTCCTGGTTGGCGTGGAATGCAGCATGAGGGGCAGAAGTGATGTCCACACCAGAACTGATGATCAAAGATGGCGACGCGTTGCAGGCATGTGCTCCTTCTTCAGGCCTTCTTCTTCAGTACTACACCCAGATGGCGCTTGTTTCTTTCCTCCTTTCTTTTACTGGGAAACTATAATGTTTTAAATACCACTCACATTTGTGTAGTCCAATGCTGTGAGTTAACGTGCTTAACATGTGTTAGGGTGCACTGCATTAAGACAGCCCATTCATCAGAATTGGATGCCTACGCACCACAACAGCCAAAAATAAAAACGGTAGCACTATTTGTTCAAATGCAGTGCAGCGCATGACATGGCAGTACACCATTGTGCATTGTGGTGCAGTGCTACACAGGTGCCTTCCTTCTGTGCATTGGGGTGTATGGTGCTTACCCCTGCAGGAGCTATCTGATAGCCTATCTTTTCTGCTGTGACTCTGCAAACAGCTCTGTCACCTCTGACATACCTAATTTTAAATTAAGTGTTTGTAACCCCACACTATATTAATATCCAAAAAAAAAAACCACAAGCTACTTGATGGTTGATAAAGTGAATATGATGTGGCAAGGCAGGTAATTTGCAATGCACAAAGCATAAAACAAGCAACTGAATATGTTTGAATATGTTGAACTAAATAGGGTGGATACCAATCTCTGATATGGCAATCAAACTAGGCCACAATAAGGCAAAACCAATTTAAACTGGTACACACAGTGTTAATAAAGAACACCATAAATTATAAAAACATATAAATATCACAAAGAAAAGTCTCACTGTTACCCTCAATGGTGACTGATCAAAATATGCACTCTGTGATAATAACCATGGATATAAGTATACGTAGATGTTCCTGAACAGGGTACTCCTGCAAGGTGATTGTTTAATACTTGGTGCCTAATTTGCAATATTAAGTTTGCTAACATTGGGGCCTGTAATGTACAGTGGTGCACTTGTTACTGTCTCTTTAAAACTACATGCAATAGATGATTTCGAGGTTGCTAAGTAATGGGTAGTCTCTACTGTCATTAAACCGCTGACAGTGATGGGAAAAGCACAGTTGATTCTGCTCACCACTGCTGGTACGCAATGAGCCAGGTCCAGAACGCTTGGTGGTCTGTTAGTCTCATAAATCTAGTCTCCGGTGGCTCAGCTCTCATGACTAGGTTCTCACAAGGGTCAGTCCTATTCAGGGGCTGACTGACCATTTGGAAACTCGGGCACTGCCAGAGGGCCTGGGGTCAGTAGGGGGCCCCATGAGATGCCCCTGGTACCTTTTTCATAGGCTTTTTTGAGTTTGGGCAAGGACACAGGGGCCCCATGATCCCCAATTGCCCGGGGGCCCCATGAGTTGTCAGTCCACCCCTGGTCCTATTGCTCAGACTGTAGCTGGTTGTCTCCAGCTGTAGGCACACACATGACAACAGGTCCCTCCAACTCCGGTCCCCACATAGCAAAAAACCTTTCAGTGGCTCAGTCCACTGGCTCTCTGGGCATGCAGAGCACAGAAATGGCACCCTGACCCTAGTCTCTGAACAGGTTCAGTTTTCCTGGTGATATGCACAGACACCCCAGCAACAGGTCTGCATTCTCTGGTACCCCCGCCACTTCCCCGCCCAGACCTCTGGTCATATGTCATGGAAAAACTCACTCCCTCCTCCTCTACAAGCAGGACTTTTTGGGTGCTGTAGATCACAATCTATTAGCCTCTATGGCACATGTCCCATGATCCCATGCAATTGAGAGAGGTGAATGGTTCCATCATCAAATCTCTCCCCCTGTGGCTATCACCACAGACAGCTCCAAGTAGGGGGGGGCACTTCTCTTAGCTGGCTACAAAGTGGCGAGGAGGAAGAGCCCAGGCTTCAGCCTAGCACTGATGTCATTTAAGATCAATGGCACTGCAATGCATTGTGGTCTATATATTTTGGTAACATGTATATTACAGTAACAATTATATAAAGCTGGCCTTAGGGTTAATTTTATTTTCAAAATTTGTATTTTACTTATATGTTTTGTCTGTTTTTTTTTACAATGTACTGTATATACAATCATTACTTTACAAAATTAATATATACAGTATAACATGACAAAGAATTCCCAAAGCACTAAAGGTTAACCCTTGCATGGCGAAGTTGGGCTTTCATTTTTTATTTTTATTTTTTTCATTTTTTTTTAACATTTTCATTTCATTGTTTGTATTTATAGTAGTCTTTCTTAGAAAAAAGACTTAAGGTGTTTTTTTACATTTGCTTGCATCAGAACTACTGTTCTCCTCGTACAATTACGGCTTGAACAGCTCAGACAGAGTTTAGAAGGGACTGCAACTGCAAGCTGAATGCACCTGTAATCATGCTACATTTTCCTTTAAAGGGTCAGTGCACTCAAATGTGATGGTTTAGTTACAAAAGAAGCTTGGTAGTCTAATGCAGGCCATAGATGGGGGAGAAAAACTGCAGATTTTTCTTTTAAAAAACGAAAAATCGGTTGTTCAAGTGGCCGACGTTACCATCAATGGTAAAAAAAAAATCGGCCGATTTTCTACCCGTCTAGAGCCGGCAAAAAGTGTCCCTGCAGAGAGCTCTGCTATTTCTTTGACAGTTCCTTGACATTTATAGAAGTTGCAACAATGTATCTATTTGTTTCCATTTAGGATACAGATGTTTTTATTCGGAAACAAATAGATACAATGTTTCAACCGCTGTAAATGTCAAGTTTCTGTCAGAGAACTGTCAGAAATAGCGGAGCTCTCTGCAGAGACACTTTTTGCTGGACTGGAATTCTTCTTATTTTCATCCTACTTCTTCTTCTTCTTCTTCATCCTCATCCTCATCCTCTTCTTCTTTCTTCTTCTTCTTCTTCATCCTCATCCTCTTCTTCTTCATCCTCATCCTCTTCTTCTTCTTCTTCTTCATCCTCATCCTCTTCTTCATCCCCATCCTCTTCTTCTTCATACTCATCCTCTTCTTCTTCATCATCCTCATCCTCTTCTTCTTCTTCTTCTTCTTCTTCCTCATCCTCATCCTCTTCTTCTTCTTCATCCTCTTCTTCATCATCATCCTCTTCTTCTTCCTCATCCTCATCCTCTTCTTCTTCATCATCCTCATCCTCTTCTTCATCATCCTCATCCTCTTCTTCTCTTCTTCTTCATCCTCTTCTTCTTCTTCTTCTTCATCCTCTTCTTCATCCTCATCCTCTTCTTCTTCTTCATCCTCATCCTCTTCTTCTTCTTCTTCTTCATCCTCTTCTTCATCCTCTTCCTCTTCTTCTTTTTCTTCTTTTTGTCTTCCTCTTGCAGGTCACTGCTCATGCGCAGATTTTTTTTATCGGTAAAAAATCGGCCGATTTGCCCACTAATTGCCGCGAAAATCGGCCGATCGGCAAAATCGGCCGATTTTTTTTTCCAACTTTACCGAAAAACAAAAACGGCCAAAATACCGAAAAACGGCCGACCAAATCGCCCACTAACGATCCGAAAATCGGCCGATTTTATTTTCGGCCGAAAAATCGGCCGATTTTCGACCCGTCTATGGCCTGCATAATGCAGGCCATAGATGGGTCGAAAATCGGCCGATTTTTTCGGCCGAAAATAAAATCGGCCGATTTTCGGATCGTTAGTGGGCGATTTGGTCGGCCGTTTTTCGGTATTTTGGCCGTTTTCTTTTTTCGGTAAAGTTGGAAAAAAATCGGCCGATTTTGCCGATCGGCCGATTTTCGCGGCAATTAGTGGGCATATCGGCCGATTTTTTACCGATAAAAAATCTGCGCATGAGCAGTGACCTGCAAGAGGAAGACAAAAAGAAGAAAAAGAAGAAGAGGAAGACGATGAAGAAGAGGATGAAGAAGAGGAAGAAGAAGAGGATGAAGAAGAGGATGAGGATGAAGAAGAAGAAGAAGAAGAAGAAGAGGATGAGGATGAAGAAGAAGAAGAGGATGAGGATGATGATGAAGAAAGAGGATGAGGATGATGAAGAAGAAGAGGATGAGGATTAGGAAGAAGAAGAGGATGAGGAAGAAGAAGAAGAGGATGAGGATGAAGAAGAAGAAGATGAAGAAGAGGATGAGGATGAAGAAGAAGAAGAGGATGAGGATGATGATGAAGAAGAAGAAGAGGATGAGGATGAAGAAGAAGAAGAGGATGAGGATGAAGAAGAGGATGAGGATGAAGAAGAAGATGAGGATGAGGATGAAGAAGAAGAGGATGAGGAAGAAGAAGAAGAGGATGAGGATGATGATGAAGAAGAGGATGAGGATGAAGAAGAAGAAGAGGATGAGGAAGAAGAAGAGGATGAGGAAGAAGAGGATGAGGATGAAGAAGAAGATGAGAAGAGGATGAGGATGAAGAAGAAGAAGAAGAAGAAGGAGAAGAAGAAGAGGATGATGATGATGATGATGATGATGAAGAAGAAGAGGATGAGGATGAGGAAGAAGAGGATGAGGATGAAGAAGAAGAAGAGGATGAGGATGAAGATGAGGATGATGAAGAAGAAGAAGAAGAAGATGAGGATGAGGATGAAGAAGAAGAAGAAGAGGATGAGGATGAAGAAGAAGAGGATGAGGATGATGATGAAGAAGAGGATGAGGATGAAGAAGAGGATGAGGATGATGATGATGAAGAAGAAGAGGATGAGGATGAAGAAGAGGATGAGGATGAAGAAGAAGAAGAAGAAGAAGAAGAAGAAGAGGATGAGGATGAGAAGAAGAAGAAGAGGATGAGGATGATGAAGAAAGAAGAAGAAGAAGAAGAAGAGGATGAGGATGATGATGATGATGAAGAAGAAGAGGATGAGGATGAAGAAGAGGATGAGGATGATGATGAAGAAGAAGAGGATTAGGATGAAGAAGAGGATGAGGATGAAGAAGAAGAAGAAGAGGATGAGGATGAAGAAGAAGAAGAGGATGAGGATGATGATGATGAAGAAGAAGAAGAGGATGAGGATGAGGATGAAGAAGAAGAAGAAGAAGAAGAAGAAGAAGAAGTAGGATGAAAATAAGAAGAATTCCAGTCCAGCAAAAAGTGTCTCTGCAGAGAGCTCCGCTATTTCTGACAGTTCTCTGACAGTTCCTTGACATTTACAGCGGTTGAAACATTGTATCTATTTGTTTCCGAATAAAAACATCTGTATCCTAAATGGAAACAAATAGATACATTGTTGCAACTTCTATAAATGTCAGAGAACTGTCAAAGAAATAGCAGAGCTCTCTGCAGGGACACTTTTTGCCGGCTCTAGACGGGTAGAAAATCGGCCGATATTTTTTTACCATTGATGGTAACGTCGGCCACTTGAACAACCGATTTTTCGTTTTTTAAAAGAAAAATCTGCAGTTTTTCTCCCCATCTATGGCCTGCATTATAGGGCTCTATTTATAAATATTTTCACCCAAGATTCACACATTTTTTTACACAGGATTCATGCCATTTCCCAATTAAATCTAATTTGAAAAGTGTGTGAATCTTTGGTGAAACAATAAAATAAAGTGCAGCGCTAAAAAAACAGAATAAAATGACAAACTGAAAAGTTCGATATAAAATTCGATAAAAAGTTCGATCAATAAATTCAAAATTGTAATTGGTCCGTGAGTGTGGTGGACACAACTTAGAGTGATCCAGGAAAATGGCAGAAATGCGCACTCACCGACCGCACATAGGAAATGTGCATGTGTATATCAAATCCCACAGCTGTCGTTATCCACCAGGGAGAGATGTCATCAATCGATCTGCTGGACTTGTAGAGCCTCCTTACGATGGAGATGAGTCAACTGGGCAGAAGGTCCCCTCCAGGAAAAGGCTTCCCTCCTCTGGAAGTGGTATGCAGCTGTGTATGCTAACCCCTCAATGAGGGGCAAAAAGTGGTAGAGTACCCATAGTGTAGTATATAAAATATTTATTGGTAAAGCAATAAAGTAAAAACAGGTCAGTAATGGTGCTGGCAAAAGCCTGGAGAGCAGTGAATAGAAAGGTGTAACACTGACCTAGGTAAAGCTGGCCGCCAGACCTCCTGGTGGTCTGAGCGGCAATGAGGCGTCACAGGCTGTCAGTTCCTCCTGAGGCCTTTCGTGCTAAGGCACATCATCAGAGGAGAACACATTGAGGGGTTAGCATACACAGCTGCATACCACTTCCAGAGGAGGGAAGCCTTTTCCTGGAGGGGACCTTCTGCCCGGTTGACTCATCTCCATCGTAAGGAGGCTCTACAAGTCCAGCAGATCGATTGATGACACCTCTCCCTGGTGGATAACGACAGCTGTGGGATTTGATATACACATGCGCATTTCCTATGTACGGTCGGTGAGTGCGCATTTCTGCCATTTTCCTGGATCACTCTAAGTTGTGTCCACCACACTCACGGACCAATTACAATTTTGAATTTATTGATCGAACTTTTTATCGAATTTTATATCGAACTTTTCAGTTTGTCATTTTAT